GATTGTTTGTCATTCATCAGCAGATCGATAATCATATGGACTGGTAATGTTGACGAGTATCATCACGTCTGGGCTCATTGCACATCTGAGAATCAGATATTGAAAATTTTAGGTGATCAGAGTTGCAAATTACAGAACATAAAGAGACAAAGGCTCAGAATACGAACATTGATTAGACTAACGAAAACTTCAAGAAAACATTGGTGAATACGACTGAAACCATCTAGGAACCTACAAACGATAGGGTCTATCCAAAGAAAAGCCAAGCTCATCCTCAAGATGCAATCAACAAAGCAAAAAAACTCAACCACAGCGCCCTCACACTTCGGATGCCCTTGTGACGAAAACGCAGCTGCCGTCGATACCGCTTGACCCTTCTTCAAAGAACACGGACTTGATGTTGCCTCCAATCCTCCTCCCACTCCACGTGAGGACGCGCTCCTCCCTTTCAACCTGTGTCAGCCGACCATCCTCCACGATACTATGCAAGCAGAGAAGCAAAGGCAACCAATATGTTGAAAATCTCATGAAGACCCGCCCCCTATCAAAGGCAGTCTTCCCTTCATCTCGCGTGCTGGCCTGCAGCATCACTAGGTGAAGCGTAAAGCCGGAGATGACACCACCCGTGCTTTCAAAAGGTAGGCCACACCAAGTCGCGCCACGTCATCTCCACCCTCCGCCTGTCGACTCTCACGCCCACAGCCCCCACCCTGCTCGGAAGCGAGTGCATCTCATACCCGCGATTACAGCGACCGCCTCGATTTCCCATCCACCCCCCACCACTTGCAAAGCGTCGGGCGGCGGAGCACCCCCCGTAGCGCTCCGCCCGCCCTCAGGTTTCCAAGACACAAACAATCCCAAAAAGACCAAAAACAAATTAAAAAGGAAAGGCCGAACCAACCGGAACTTCCAGCAAACTCCATGAAAATTTTCGCTATTATTTAATGACACCCCAACATACCAACATAGCTTCCATGTAACACTCTCCCTATTTAAACAACGCCCACTCCATGTTCAGCGACAATTGGCAGGAGCAGGCCGGAATACACTCAGACCCCTCTCTCAAAAAATGCAAAAGACCCAACATTTATCAAATCATTTGAAAGGGTTTCACCCAGTTCGTGCAATATTGCAGATACCAGGATTCGATCCCCAGACTTTCCCTACCCCACTGTATAGTTGCCCGTTGACCCTGTGTGCTTTGAATCCGCAGCCTGTCCCTAAGTGTACAAATGTTTTGTGTGTGTAGCTTAGGTCGCGTGGATTTGATCCGTAGATTAGTTGTTTAGGAGTCTTAAGGGTCGTGTGTAAGTTTTCTAAAATGGCAAACTTGCAGTTGACCTTTCAGAAGGTCAACTGGCCATATTTCCTCTGAAGGGTCAGTAGGTCGTGGCTAGAACAGTGCACAAAGAGTCAACTTGACCTCTCGCAGGTTGAAATGGTAGTCCATCGATCTCTGAAAGGTCAAGAGTCCCAAGTCAAACACCGAAAGGGCAAGCAAAAGGGCAGTCCCAGTCCAGTCCATTTTGCAGCAAATACCAGAGTGGGACTGCACATCTTGAGGGCCTGGGACATCGGGCAGGCCCAGACCACTGTGAGGAATGAGCCCTCAGAGGGGCCTTGCCGACATGCATATGTTCTGGGCATAGGCCCCAGCAAGCCTTGTGCCCGCCCTAAGTGAAGGCGGGCCAGACATGTGACCGCCCTAAGTGAAGGCTGGTCAGAATATCCACGAACAGGCCTTTCTTTCAACATTTTTGTAAAGTGGGTATCAGGCAGTTGCAGCACGCCAGTTGGTTGGAGTGCATCGTGGATCCCAGACTCCTGCGAGAAGCAGTTGAGCCCAGGGCCTCAGTTGGTTGAGCCCTGGGCACAGGCCAGGGGAGACCGACACATCACACATTGGATGTCGGCCAATGGGAAAGCAGCATGGCCGTCGTAGAGGCCGAGCAAACCGGAAAGGGTCTGCATCTGGACGGCGGCCCTGGCACAAGGGGCGCAACTGTACTGCCCGGGCCACATCTGTGTTGGTACTGGGACCAAAGCGCAGGCTCAAGGCAGGCCGCCCACACACAGCATGGCATATAGGCAGGGAGTGCGAGTGGGCAGGATCTTGGCCAATGCAGACATTGCGGGCACGCTGCGCTAATGCGAGGTGCTGCGTTGTGCAGAGCTGCGTAAGGCTGAGGGAGGCAGGCGAGCGCTAGGCGGTAGAGCGCTGCCTGGGCGCAGGGCGCTGGCAGCCATAGCCGGGCTGCCTGAAGGGCGCAGTGGAGGTGAAGGGCGAAGGTGGTTCTTCGGAGGTGAAGGGCGATGTGTGGGATAACAAGGGAGAGTGAGGGTGAAGAGAGGACGTACCTGGTGGAGAGGAAGTTGGCATTGGTGTTGACGTCATCACTCGCTGGTCGTCAAGTTGTTTGGTTGCTTTCATGCTGTAGTCGTAGGTTGTAGTGTAGATAGGGCACCTGGCGCCATTCAAGAGAGAGAGCTACATTGGGTTATGCTGTTGGTGTTGCCCGATTGGGCTTGGCCATTGACTCACGATTCTGCTGTATCATTCTCAAATGGATGGTTACGTGGTTCCATTGTGCTATCTGCCCTTGCTTTGACTACATGGACTTCAGTGAGATTTTGCAATCTGGATTTCTGTGCTTCGTCCACATTCATGTTCCTTGCATTTTGGTATCGGAGCTGGATTGATTCGCCACTTACCTTGGTGTGCTGGCGTTATACAGACTTGGTGCGTTGATGATGCTTCTTCACAGTTGGTTCTTGTGACGTCGGGCCATATAAGCGCACGACCTGGGTAGAGAGGTGTGCGCCGGAAGGCTAAGACGGCATTGATTGCCGTGGTGACAGGCGGAATGTATGATTGGTGATTAGAGCATGGTGATGTGGCATTAAGCTGAGGTGGCACTGCATTGCGATTGTGGGTGGTACCGAGGCTATGACCGGTCATCAAATGCACACTCAGCTCAATTGGTGAKAAATCTGTGGTTGGGGGCAGCTATCTCCAGGTATGTTGTTCCCTTACCTTATCTACTCTCTCAATCTCTTCTTACCGTGAGGAAGTGAGTCCAACTTGAGAGTCCTCTCTTTTGGTGAGGTGTCATGAGCGCGCTACCTTGAAAGACGACAATCTTTCCGGAAGCATCTGGAAGGAGAAAGGGTGGTGCCCTTGAAGGGCCCTGGTCGAAGCACTGGGTCATGGTCACCATGCCAACCCAATGGGAGTAGGTCACGCATGCGATGGATGCTGTCCATTTTGGCACTTGCTGTGCTGATAGAAGTCCTGCCGGGTGTGCCTGCCCATAAGAGACGCTCACCAGACCGTCTATAAACATTTCTGGTTGGGGACTCAGTGATGATTCTGGCTGTGATCGTGGTCCTGTCTGCGACGTTAAAGAATTCCTGAGGAGATGGGGGCTCTCCTTAAATCCCTCCTGATCAGCCAGATCGCACTCGGCAGTAAGGCTCGTTCCGTACGAGGGTAAATAAGAGTGGATGGGCTGACTTGCTCGACAATGACTTGGGCACAGGGGTGGGCCGACAAACACACGAAGACACCACTGCTCATTGATGCTATTCGGTATGTTGGATTGAGGGGAGGGTAGGTTCTAATTGATGCTCAACTGGATACACAACCATACCCAATGATCATACATCTGCAACATGGTCTTTGTTTATTATTGATTAGTTGGTTGACAACTGCTAATACCTCACAGACAGATTAGAGTAGGACTGCTGTAGACTACCATAGCCAGTTCTATCTAATGCTGTTGTAAGTGAACTAATCAAGGTACACCTAGACTATGTTGACAGTCTATTGTGAATGTTGTAGGCTGCCACTTGATCGGTAAAGTAGGGGACCTGCCAGACACAACTATTTTTAGAAAATTAGGTGTCGGTCAGACACATGCTGTGGTAGGACTCCACTAGGGGGGTTCTAGTGCAGATAGTGTTTGCCTAACTGATGAGTGGATCAGACACCGTTGAGGGTGAAGTTGACGATGCGAGACTGACACGTTCGAGATCACTTAGGATCCCGCACGTGTTCCAGGCCTTACAACCGGAAGACGAAAGACGGATTCGTGCCGAACGCAAAGCCCGTGCTCTAGCAGCAGGGATAGAGGCAGCAAACGAAGCAGCTAGAGAGCAAGCAGCGGCAGCCAGAGCAGCAACAATGGCTAACGGTGCAGGCTCTGCTGCGTCCTCGTCTGCGACCTCATCCGGGACCCAGTTGGGAATGCCAGTTGGGCCCACGGGTACTTCCGGCTCAATGAGTTCTGGTCAGTCTATCAGTCAAATGACGGGCTCGCAGTTCAGCCCGTTGACCCCACGAGGTAGGGAGCTCCTAGAGCTCCAACAGGTCGAAAGGATCCGCGAGCGGTTAGAGAGGGAACTGAAACAAGCTACCGACAGAGAAAGAGAGATTAAAAAATAGAACAGTCAGGCTTGATTCCTTAGAGGCAGACAAGGCTTCATTAGAGGGTTTGGATGAGTCAGCAATGTCTGACCAGCTCAAAGTATTGAAGAACAATATGTTGTCGTTGCATGCGCACGTGGACAGCAGATTAGACTTTATGCAGAACTCTCTAGACCAGATCTTGGACCTTTTGCAAAGGCCAGGATTTAGGCCGGCAGCACAGTCACCGTTGCCATTAACGGCGATGTCAGGCCCCTATCCGATACAAGCTGGCACACAACCAAGTGGTACGTCTGCAGCAGCCGCACAGACTGTTGCTTCTTCTTCTTCTGGTCCAACGGTGTTAGCTACACAACCACCGCAACAACTTGTTCCTCCACAGGGACAGCCGCAAGGTCAATGGTACCCTAAGACCCCAATGAAACCGCCTCTTGCCTTCTCAGGTGAGAAGAAGGACGAAGAACTCAACACTTGGTTGAGAACAGTTCCGGTTTGGGTAAAGGCGAAGAGGACCTTGCAGGAGGAGGAGGTGATTACTGCTGCATCTTACCTCGAGGGTAAGGGAGCCAAATGGCTAGATGGTCTAGTTGCAAAGGCCGGGTATGGACGACGTATGGCGGACTGGGCTAAGTCAATTACGTTAGACCAGTTCATGAAAATGGTAGAAGCTCGATGGCATAATCCACAGCAGGTGCAAATGGCCACTGATGCGATGCACAGACTAGAACAAAGAAAATTCAAGTCAGTCAGGGAGCTTACGACTACCGTGGAGAGCCTTATCGTCGTCCCTGGCATCAACTACGATAACCAGTTCCTGTTGACCACATTTGTGAGATGTCTTCCAGAGAACCTCAGGAATTTGCTGGCCAGTGAGGCTCGCCTCGAGTATCACTCGTTTGAGACATTATCTAGAAAAGCCTTAGACTTAGAGGCCACTCTAGGAAATGCTCGACCTACTCAGAATGATGCGAGGAAGAAGAAAAGTCCACAGGAATGGAAGAAGAAGGGGCCTAAATTGATGATGATTGAGTCCGATGGGACTCAAACAGAGATCGATGAGCTCACAGACCTGCTGGACGTTTCAGAGTACGACGGCGAGGAGATCGCTGAGGGTAGCATCCTCGCCGCAGTAGTCAAGGCTAAGGCGGGTGGCCGAGGGAAGGGCCATCCAAAGAGTCAAGGGAAGGCCGCCTCCAATCAGACCAAAGTGGTTGATTGGGTCAAGGCAGGTCTTGATCAAGAAGTGCGGCGGGACCGCCGAGTGCATGGCGCTTGTATTAACTGTGGTGAATACGGACACACACAGTACAAGTGCCAGAACGCAAAGGTCACGCAGAAGATACCTCCTAAGATGGGGGCATCTTCTTCCCAGGCTTCTAGCTCGGGAAACACGTGAGGCCGGTGGAAATTTTTGCTGCTTCTACTCATGGTGAAGTGGGTCAGATACCCTCCCCACTTCATGAGATGGCCATAGTTAATGACTCTTTAGCCAACCCGCAGACTCATCCAGACCAAACAATGCTCGGTACATTGGATGTGTTTGAAGCCTTAGAAGATCTGGAAAGTGAGTGGTCAAACAAAGACCCTCGTGAATCTTGGGTGGCACTAAGGAAAGGTCATAGAGGGGAACATTTCGTGGTGGAAGTCGATGTAGGAGGCCGCAAATGTGGTGCCTTCATAGACGTTGGCTCCACGCGGAATTACATAAGTCGCGACTGTTTGGAAAGGCTGCACCTACAGGACCGGGTACGGCACCTTAGTAGACCTGTAGCATCTACTTTGGCCAATAAGGAGCGCATGATTGTCACAGACTATATTAAGAACGTAGTTTGTACCTTCTCCCATGGAGGAGGAAAACTTAATCATAAGATTTCGTTCTTAGTTAGTGACGACTTGCCATTCGACATGTTGTTGGGAATGTACTACCTTGAGGTTGCTAAGCCCCAGTTTGAGTGGGATAAGAAGGTGCTAAAGCATAAGTTGCCTAATGGCAGAACAGTCAGATTGACTAAGTTCAAAGTCAGTAGCATAATAGATACCTATGGCTGCTTGTGTGCATCAGCGTTCTACAAGTATTACAAACAGAACCAAGAGGAGGGTTTGTACCAAGTGTATGTCTCTGAGAAAGGGGAGGCCGTTAAAACACCCCCAGAGATAGAACGCGTCGTTGCTAAGTTCCCTGATCTGTTCGAAGAGCCTACAAGAGTCGTAGAGAGGGAGGTTGTCCACGCTATAGAAATCATTCCAAGGAGTAAAACCCCAAAGGGAAGGATCTATAGGATGGCTCCCGCTGAGTTGGATGAACTTCGGCGACAACTGAAAGAGCTGACAGAAAAGGGATGGATCCGGCCTAGTACTTCCCCTTACGGATCTCCAGTACTATTTGTACCGAAGAAGGGGGTACATTGAGGATGTGCATTGACTATAGAGGCCTCAATGCCATCACAGTGAAGAACGCAGAGCCTCTACCTCCCATAGATGAACTATTGGATAGGGTGCAGGGAGGTAAGTACTATAGTAAGATAGACTTAAAATCCGGCTATCATCAGATCGCTATAAGACCTGAGGATCAACACAAGACAACTTTTCAGACTCGATATGGTCTGTATGAGTTTGTTGTGATGCCCTTTGAACTTTGTAACGCGTCGGGTACATTCCAGCACGCCATGAATCGGATATTCCATGACAACTTAGATAAGTTTGTCGTTGTCTATCTCGACGATATTCTGATCTTTAGTAAGTCTGCCGAGGAGCACGCACAGCACGTTAAGACTGTACTATCTCTCCTGCGACAGCACAAGTATAAGGTCAACCTATAGAAGTGTGAGTTTGGACGCACTAAGATATTATACTTGGGTCATGAAATATCCGCGGAAGGAATTAGGCCGGAAGATGCGAAGATGGCTAGTATCAAGGACTGGCCACGACCTCAGATTGTCACTGAGGTCAAATCTTTCTTAGGAATGTGCGGCTACTATAAGAACTTCGTAAATAACTATTCTACAGTCGCCTCTCCTTTGACGGATCTAACTTGACTTGACACGCCGTGGGACTGGAGTGATGAGTGCGAGGGTGCTTTCAAGCGATTGAAGCATGCACTCATGAATCATGAAGTTCTCATGATTCTCGATCCTCAGAAGCCATTCATAGTGACCACTGACGCAAGCCAATACGGCATTGGCGCAGTGCTGGCTCAGCAGGATGGGAAGAAGTTGAGACCGATTGAGTACATGAGCAAGAAAATGCCATCGAAGAAACTGGCGAAGTCCACCTATGAAAGGGAACTCTATGCTTTCTACAAAGCACTTGTCCATTGGAGACACTTCTTATTGGGAAGGTTCTTCTACTTGAGGACTGATCATCAGACCCTCAAATGGATCAAGACTCAACCGCCTCTCTCTGATGCACTCAAGCAATGGATTGAAGTCATAGATCAGTATGACTTCAAGCTAGAGTATCTGAAGGGAGAGTACAACAAGGTTGCAGATGCGCTATCACGTAGGGCAGACTACCTAGGGGCGCTAGTTTCTAACTTTGGTGTATCTGAGGAAGTAACTCAATCGTTGGTGGGATCCTATCAGGAAGACCCTGTCACGATGGACATCATACGCAAACTTCAAGCAAAAGACAAGGCCACGGAAAATGAGTTTGTGATGCTGGACGGGCTTCTCTATCTTGATAAGGTCGAAGTTAAAAGGTTAGTCCTTCCATCTAGTGAACGTTTGCGTAGTTTATTTCTAGGAGAATGTCATGACGCAACCGAACACTTTGGATACGAAAAGACGAGTGCCAATCTAGTACAACGATTGTGGTGGCCTGGAATGCTAGATGACACAAAGAAGTATGTAGAGACCTGTCAGGTCTGTCAGCGGGACAAGCTGCGAACTCAAGCACCGCTTGGGTTGTTGAAGCCCTTACCTATCCCCGCTGGTCCAGGACAGAGTGTCTCCATGGATTTCGTGGACACCCTGGTGACCAGTAAGAGTGGCAAGAGGCACATCTTCGTCATCATCGATCGATTCACCAAGTACGCTAGACTAGTTGCCATGCCAGAGACCGCAAGGACTGACCATGTCATCAAGTTGTTCATGGACAACTGGGTGCGTGACTTCGGTTTACCAAAGTCAATCGTTAGTGACAGAGATGTCAGTTTCACAAGTGAGCTATGGAAGAAGACTGCTGAGCAAATGGGGAGTCAATTTCAGATGACTTCAGGGAATCATTCCGAAGCCAACGGACAGGCCGAGCAGATGAACAGAGTTGTACAACATCTGCTAAGGCATTACATCAAGCCCAGCCAGGATGATTGGGATGAGAAGTTGCCTTTCATCGCCAGCCTGTACAACAATGTTGTACACAACAGTACCGGCGTTAGTCCTAATCAGCTGCACTTGGGATGGAAGCCTAGATCAGCACTAGACTTCCTCCTACCTGAAAATCGACCCTCTGCTCCTCCAGGCACACTTGAGTATGGTGTGCAGTATGAGAAGTTGCTGCAGCAAGCTGTCGAGCACATCAAGAAAGCTCAGCAAGCAATGATTGCTTCTGAGAACAAGCATCGACGACAGTCCTCATTTCAGGTAGGGGAACGCGTCTGGGTCAAGGCTCGTGAGTTAGGACAATAATTCGGCATCTCTCGTAAACTAATGCCTCAGTATTTTGGTCCCTGGAAGTCCTAGACATAATTGGGGATGAGTTGGATGGTCCTACCTATGTTATCCGCATCCCTGGACACCTGCGCACTCACACTGTCTTTCATGCCTCAAAGATTGCACCTTTCGCTGAGACGGATCAATTCCCTTCAAGGAGATCGATGCTGCCCCCAACCATGGATGGCCAAGTGGACATCGACGACATTGTGGATCACAGGGACATGCCTGTTCCAGAGCCGCTGGGCCGAGGAAGACCTCCCAAGCCCAAGAGAGAGTATCACGTCAGATTCAGGCATCATACGGATCCAAAAGAAGATCGTTGGTTTACCAGAGAGAAACTGATTGAGACAACTCCTCAACTGGTGGCAGAATATGAGAGAAAGCTGAAAGGGAAGGCAC